TCTTAAAATATGACCATATTAATCAATAGAAACGTAAGAATAAATAAAAATAAAGTTTTGAGTGAGCAGGCTGTATGGACGTACCTTGTTTAAGTAGTTCACCTGCAAAATGCTACCTCCTAGCACGATGGCCGTAAAAAACCACGTCTCAAAGTACTTGAACTGATTCATTCCTGAAAATGTCAGCTTGAGTGCAATTCCAACTGCTTTGACGCTCATAACCTACAAATTAATTCGAAGTTGATTGAAGATATGAGAAAAAAGATTGGAACTAATAAAATGCATGAATTTGAGTGATGGTAAACAAACCGTAAGAGAACCCATGAGAGAACAAATTCCAACATAAACAACCATGTGCGTTTGTCCATATTTTGGCGCGTATCGAACAAGAACCACAATTAGAACCAAAACTATGATGGAGTATACTAGAAAACCTGGTAAGAACCAAATTATTGTGTCAATCTAATTGTGATTAAATTACATGGTTGAAGTAAAAAAAAAATATACAATGGTTGAAGAAAAAAAATTACAATGGATAAAAAGAATAATCTACCTTCGGGTTGGTAAAAAAGGGGACAAAAGGTAATTTGGTATAACTTTATCCTTAATGTTTTAAAGGTAATTTTACCAACTTTTTAATTTCCGTTATAACTAAAACTTTTAAGATATTAGGATAAAAAATAACTAATAGGGAGGTCATGACATTAATTATAAAAAAAATAATGATGTAAAAATCATAGTTTGAGTTTAGTCTAGTCTAGATGGTGAGTGTTGGATTGGTACATAACAACCATGGAATTGTTACATTTGGTCAAATGGTAAATCTAGAAGGAGATTTATAGAGTAATTACTAAAAAAAGGGAAAATTTTATTATAATCATGAAATTAGTAAAAGTTGGAACTCTCAATATTTATCTATTTCAACAAAAATAAACCTCACATCACAAAAATTTTAAACTGATCAATGCATGACATTGAAGATGGAATGAATCTTTCAAAGATCACAATTTTTTTTTTTAAAAAAATATAACTTTAACATTGTTTTTCTATAAAAAGGTTCATTAATTTTGTACTAAATATATAGTTTATATTATTGAAAGCACGTGGAAATATTTATGAATGATTTTTCAAAATGAAGTCAAGTTTAAGGTAAAAAAAATGTCATTCCCTATTAAAAATGTCCCCAATCTTCGATCAAAACTACCGAATTGGGAAGAAAAATGAGGATATTTTAAGTTTAATGGTGTGACAACTATAAAAAAACATGCAAACTCTGAAGCATGGAAATGTAATATGGTGAAGCAAATGACAAACCTGGCTCTGTAGCAAGCATCCAAACTTCCTTGACAGACTCAATATTTCTCTCCTGTGGAGCATGCAAAACAATAGTTGTAGATCCCACCACACAAAGAACACACCCTAGCATTCCGAAGATATGTAGCTTTTCCTCCAAAATGAAATGAGCGAGCACTGCACTGCATAATGGTGTCGTTTAATTAAATTACTCAACTCTAAGCATACTTAAACCACATATTTCCGTATCATAAAATAGTAAATATGATGGCTACGTTAAGACAAATATCTCAATATTTGTCTTATAATACAATATCAAATATGATATATATGTTAAACTACAGTTGAGGACTAAATATCATTCCTTCCCATGAATGTATTCGGTTTCCTATGAGCACAGTATATAGTATCTAAGCATTAACTGATATCAAAAGTACAAAAAAAAAAAAAAAATGCCTTGAATTGATACATACCTGAAAATTATACTCAAAGCTCCCAAAGGGGTTACGAGAATTGCAGGAGCGTATGCATAAGCAGCGAAATTAGCAATCTCTCCAACAATCACTACACAAAATGAAACAAACTGATTTAAAAGCAATCTTATGTGTTTCTTGCCTCTTTGCTTTGGTAATTAAACAACAGAACCGTGAGAATTATGTTCTTCATTGTAATTACTAGTGAACCTGCAAATGCTCTTGCAGTTATCCAACTCCAAATCGCTCTTCTCAACAAATAATGACTCAAGAAGCCTTATAATGATAGAGGAACTCTGGAAAAATTCTCAGTCATTATTACGTTTATGAACAAAATATTACCAATACCTCAAAAAGTTGGAACAAGTTAGCCAAAAACGAGCCTGTCCTTTCTTTTGGTAATTAAATACTAATATGCTTTTGCCTAGAGAAAGGGAATGAAGGACGAAAAGGAGAGGGATGCTCTACTTATTTGCACCTTATCTTGTAGCATTCACATTCTAATCTAAGGATGCTTCGACTTCCTAAGTCTTAACTCTACTAGGAATTGGAAAAAGAAACACCTCAAGAGATGAATCAGCTGGAAAAAAGAGATATTAAACAGACAGGAGCAGATTTTGGAAACTTTTCCGACAAATCTGAGTCAAGTGCAAGTGCAAGTGCAAGTGCAAGCGCAATAATGCTTTCAAGAGAACTGCTGCTAGTTGTTAGTCGAGGTTTGAACAGGATAAAATTATCGTAAGTAACCAAATAAATGAAGAACTTACTACTGATCATTCCAGCCCACCACATAGGTTCATACAAGTACGAATATCCTCCTGAACCTGATCACACCAAAAGAAGTGCAATTAAACATAAGACATGAAGAGAAAGAGCAAAAATATGGCGAAGAATTCTAGATAAAGTTCAAGATGTCGATCCCAAACCAACACAAAACTGGCTATCAAATCAGTAACAACACACATTGCTTCAACTTTTACGTAAACGTGAAATTCAACCAATAGATGCAATACATCAAATCGAAACTCAGAGGCGATCGAAAATGCTAGAATCAACCAAACCTGCTCTGTTTCCAACAGCACCGGCTTTCATAAGACCTTTCTTCTTGATAATGAAGCTACTACCGATGAAGATACTCGAAGAGACGGCGAGAATGAAGCCACGGACGTTATCGGAAGATATTCCCATAGCTTATACAAACAAAAAAGAAAGCCTCAGAGAAAATCTTCCAATGCCGAAATAGACGATCCGGTAAGTTCCTGCGGACACGAACAAATTCCTTTAGAGAGAAAGCAAACGACGAATGCATTACTATTAGTGAGTGAAGCTAGTTGCAGATACAGAAATGGCGAAAATGGCAGAAATTAGACCTTCATAGCATCAAATTGTTGATGGATTTGGAAGCTGGAGATTGAGGAAGGAACGATTCGGATACGAAAGTGAACGGAATCGGAAAGGAGATGAAGTGGCAGAGAGGGAGAGAGAAAGGGGAGCGTGGGAATTGGAGGCGCTAAGTGGCAAACGGTGAATCCGTTACCTTCGCTTTTTGTTTTTAATTACAAAAATGTGTCCCCGTCTCCGGTTTATTTTATTATTATTTTGTACAATTTTCCACATTATTTTTTTATGTACTTTTTTTTAAAATAAAAAAAAAAACCTTAAAAAATTAATGATAATTTATATTTTCATTTAAAAAAAAAAAATTATCCTATCATAATAAATTCAATAATATTTTATTAAAAAAATAATCTTTTTTTTTCTATTACCTTAATTTCTAAAAATTCAAATTTCATTATTACATAAATATATAATATAATTATATAATTATATAATAGGTTATGACAATTGTTTCTCACTCTCCCTGTATTCCGAGTTCAAGTTAAACGGACATCAATACGTTTACCTTTGAATTTCACGTTTTTACTTTCTTTTTCACTATGTATTAGGGGGAGGAAGGTTAATTTCTATCTATCGAAGTGAAAATTTTAACTTTCGATCTTAGAAAACTAAAAAATTATCTTCCGTTTGAAATTTAAAGACCAAATAGAAAATTTAGAAGATTTTTTTTTTTTTTTCATTGATTTCAAGTAATTAATTTTAGAACAATATTTATTATTCTTTATTTATGAAAAATAAATAAATAAAACGTTGTAAGTTATAAAATATTATCATAAATAAATCAATTAAATTATTTAATTTTCCAAATTGCGTTTTTAGTAGTTTGGTTTAAAAATCAATTAAAAAACTTTTTTCAAAAGAAATTTTCAATTAAATTAATTTTTTTTTTCCAAAATACCAATCAATTTCTCTTACCATTTAAGCATTCTAAACATTGTTTGATATTCAATACTACAATATAAGCATTCTAAAAATACATGGATTTGCTTCAAATAATCAAAGTTCTTCAAAAACCAATATACAATATGCATCTAAACAAAACCTAAGGGCTATTTTGATGGGGTTTGTTTTGACTGATTTTCAATGTGCTAAGAACATAACTTTGAAATTTAGACTACGTCTCTTGGAGCTCGACCTACCCTAACCAAGTTAGCATAGACATAGTGATGATTCAAGCTGTGAGGTTCAACACTATAGCTCGGTGCTCGGTTCCTTCAGAAACAATAGACTGAGCATGAAATAAGACATCCAAGCTGTGAGGTTCAACACTAAACCTCGGTGCTCGGTTCCTGAGCATGAACTAAGATATCGACATCCACCTCATCAAAGTTGGAACCCGAGTTTGAAACCAAAGGCTGCAGCTCTCATACCATCGTTTTGCAGGTTATCCTACCAAGAAATGATTTGAAAAGGAAAGAGGAGAAGAAAGGGGAGTGGGAGGGGGGAAAAAAAAGAACAAACACCAAAGAGAAAAGGCCAAACAATATCCTATTCCAAGGCACAACTAGCAATCAGGCATATTATTTGCACTCCCACAGACAATCCAACCTCAAATTCATCAATCATGGTGGTTTGTTTAGCTTCCCTTTCAGACTCTATGACATTATGTCCTACAAAAAGAAGCCTATTACTTGAGGTAAGGGAAACAGAAAAGAAAGCTAGCACAGCACATACATCCAGTATCAGCAAAAGACTCATTGTAGCACAAACATGCACTTCCCTAGCTCCTCAGACACAACCGAATCGAGACTTAAGGTTTGCTTCGATCATATACAGCTCATTTATTTATGGTCTATATACCAAAATAATAGAAACCAGACCTATGATCTAAGAAGCTAATCAAATAAACTGCTATAGATTTCCCCTATAAATATCTTCTTCAACCAAGCATACAAAAAATACCTGTTGTGTATATATATATACATATATATGTTTGCAATTCACCAATAACAGAAAAGCTTCCAAGTGAGACAGCCATTCTGATCATACCCAGAAGGATGAGATTTTGAAGCATTTTATCCCAGCAACATTTGGTTTCGACCTTTAACATTAGCTTCGCCTAACGAAAGTAAGATTTTGGAGATTGGAGAAGAGGAAAGAAAAAGAAAAGAAAAGAAAAGAAAAGAAAAGAAAAGAAAAGAAAAGAAAAGAAAAAAAAGAAGAAAGAAGAAAGAAGAGATATGAGGGAAGAAGACAACAGTACCACAGCAAATTGCAGTGCATAAAAAAAGAACAAGATTTCCTAAGCATACACTAATCACCGTGTAAACGATCCAGGACTTAAATGGAAGCTTGCAGTTAATAACTTCCCACTGCAAAAGCATACCTTTGTGTAAACAAGAGAAAATCAACCCGATAAACCTCCAACGACAATCACCCCGATTAACCTGCATGTATATTCATAGAACAGGTCCAACGCCCATTCAAATGGATATTAAAATAAAACCCATGCATTGGCCAAATCAAAAGAACTTGTGAGCACTAGAAATCCAAACATAAAACATGAGGTATTTTGATTTAGTATAGGAAGAACCCTCAAAATAAACTTCAGTTCCAACCATAGTTACCCTTTCAGCATCGAAAAAGAGAATAAATAACCAAAGAAAAGTAAAAAAGAAAAGACGAAATACGATCGTACTTCAATTCCTAAGGCATCAATCCTGGTGCAGACAATTTTATCGCAAATTCACCATGAAACAAGGAGGTCATAGAGTTCAACATACATCAAGTATTAAAAGAAGCTCGCTACAGATACTGGGTGTCTTGTCTTGTAGACAAAAGGACAGCAAGACTTCAAACGCTTAAAGCAGACCAACTTCAACCTGCAAGAGATAATCAAAGACAAAAGACATGGATGAAAACTAGAAATCAGAAGAATTTTCTGAGCACCCAAAGAAATGCAAACAAATCTTCTATCAAGTAGCCCTTTCTCATATGATGCAGCAATGGATGCCTTTGGATATGCCATCAAGCCTGGCTAAAATTGTTGAGAACGAAATTTGATCCGGGTTATGAAGGTATTCAAGTCCGCAACTGTTTTTGTGATTTATGAGATACACTAAACCGCTTCCATGTCAAATTTTTAATTTAACTCTGCCTCCTCAACGTCAATCGCCAGAAATTGCATCTGTATTAAGGCAACAACATCCAAGAATCGACTCGTATCAATATATGTAATCAGGAAAAGGGAAGCCAAAAAAAAAAAAAAAAAACGCATTTGAACTTACCAACTAATCAACTTGCTCAATGGCAGACATTTCAATTTTGCTCGATTCCTCAACATTGGAATATTGGGAATTTAACCCTTTTCTACCCTGATCAACTTCTGTTGGCATATCATCTATAACCTTTGAGAGACTAGCTTCATGCCCTGAAAATATCAATCCATCTCCGTCAGTGTTTATATGTTTATGACTTTAGTTGTTCATCAACATTTTGAATCTTCAATCATTTCATTGTACTTACCTCCTACAGGTTCCAGTATTGAATGCTCTCCATCTTTAAATTCATTTTCCTCCGTGCTTAGAGAAAAAATTCCTTGTCCATTCTCTCCTGAAATTGACCTGGACCGCTGTCTCCCATGATGCTTTGAATTTTCAGCTACTGATCCATTATCTATGTCGGTAACATGAACACGATGCTTATCTTCAGGAGATAGCGAACTCCTTCTATGTTTAGGTTCATTTTCATCAGAACTGGTAGGAGACAACCTGGTCGTTCTTTGATGTCTATCCCCAGGAGATATAGATCTGGATGACCTTCTATCATAATGTCTGGGCTTTTTATCTCTGCTTCTATCTGATTTCTCCTTCCTGCAATGCTTACCATCAACAGATCTTGACCTGGATCTTCTTCTGCTACGATGTCTTACCTTTTCATCTCTAGTGCTATCCAACTTATTAACAGTGAGATGTTTACTTTCTGAAGAACTTGACCGTGATCGTCTTCTACTACGATATTTCGATGAGGTATCATCTACCTTCTCCCTAGAGTTTGATCTGGACCGCCTTCTATGTTTAGATACATTCTTGTCCATGCTTCTAGGTGATGATCTTCTTTTACTATGCTTGTCTTCAAGTGAAGCAGATCTTGACCTCCTTCTATCCCGATTCTTTGATTTTCCATGTTGCATTTCATTAGTTTTTTCATCAGAATGATGCTTAGTCTCAAGAGATTTAGACCTTGATCGTCTTCTACGTTTTAGTTTGTCAACATCATCATTTCTTGGGGATGATCTGCTTTTCCCATGATGACGACTTGGTGATCTTAAATCGGAATGATCTGATTTCCTACCTCTTTGGGGTGAACGTTCCCTTGGGCGATTTGGAGAGTCTGAATCTGCTCTGTACGATTTTCTTCTGCGAGGACTGATGCTTCGGCTTCTATTTTTCCTTGAGATGGGTGAGCGATGACTTCTTGATCTATCTAGATCTCGCCGTCTAGATCTTTCACTAACATCTCTTGCTTCTCTATAAGACCTCCGGTCATCTTCAACTCTATAATAATGGCGAGATCTGTGATCTCTTGAGTGATGATATGGAGGTGAATAAGTTGGTGATCTCCGCCTACTTCGGTACTTCATAGGTGATTTTGATTTGGATTTTGACCTCTCCCTGGGCAAGGAAGGTGACCTACAGAAAAGAGGGGGAAAATCAAAAATATCTTATTAAGATGGAAAGAATTCAATTCAAAGTAAAACCTGGACTTTAAACACATGACATATAACACAAGAAAAAAGGCATACACTAGAGAGTTTTCCTTCCTGGCAAATCAAAAGTGTGGAGAAAAGGGAAGATATAATGCAGTTGATATTTTATGATAAAGGATTGAATTTACCTAAGCCATCAATGCTCACTGTTTGCTAATTAAAGTATCTTGAATTTGTTCAAGAACCCGAGGTCCTTTTTTCTATTTTATTTTACAGGAGATGGTGCAAGATTAGTGGTTACAGTATACCATACCTTGATTTTTCTTTTGTCTCAGTTTCTTCATCCCCAATTCCATCAACTTTAAGTCTTTTGCTTATTTCTGCAGCTCTAGCTGCTGCCAACTCTGTTGCAGACTTCATAGTTGCTGCACGATTAGCGGCCTGCTGAGCTGTCACAGTTTGCTGCATCAACAAAGCCTGCTGAAATTGCATTTGTTGCATGGCTACAGCTTGCTGCATCATCATGGGCAGAGAAGATGAAGCAAGTGAAGGGTTCATGGCAGCTGGTTTCTGTGGAAGTGATTTTGCCATCTCTACATTCAAAGGTCGACCTCCAACATCCATATTGTTCAATGCCAATGCAGCAGTAGCTTCTTCAGGCTTTGAGTATTCTATGTAAGCAAAATGCTTTGAATCAGTAATGGTACATTCAACAACAGTTCCACAAAAACTAAAAAGTTGTTTCAGCTGTTCCACGGTGAGAAGTGGGCTAAGATTGCTAACTTGCAGCGTTCTCTTCAGTGCATCAGCAGCCTTCCCAGATTTGTCAGATGAACCTTGCCAGAGAAGCATCAACAAATAACAAGAAGTTCATTAAGAAAATATATAGTATATGTAATCTAGGAAGTTAAAAGAAAGTACACGAGAACCAAAACACAAACAAATACACTTGAACACAACATAAGATGCATTTGAGGAGAGAAGCACAAGCACAAAAAAAAAAACAAAAACAAAAGAGTGAGCATTGAATTATATACAAAAATCTGAGCATACCAGAAGAGTCTTTCGCAGACTGAGCTTGTTGTGCTTGCACTTGAGCAGCATGGGCTTGAAGGGCTTGGGCAGCAACAATGGCCTGAGCAGCTGCCATAGCAGCAGCAGAAGGTGCCATGGGCACTTGACTAATAGTTCCCATGCTGGTTGTTGCAGCTATTGCAGTCATGAGCAAATTGTGAGGTGGATGATTTAACTTACAATCCGTTTTCGCACATTGACCATTAAGGTATTCTCGACATACTTCACCAAGAGATGCTCCAATTCCAGGCAAGATAGCACCACCAGAAGCACCAGCTACAATACCTGGAATCATTCCCATCAAACCAGGAAATGCCCCCGAAACAGACCCTGAATAATTAGGCATGTTGGGCATATTTTGATTGACCAAATTTGGAAATGATGATGCAGGAGCTAAACCCAGGAGTCCACCAGAACTCGAGCCTGGTTGGTAACAACAAACAGCTCGGTCATCAGAAAACATTGCATAGCAAACTGAATGAAACAGATAAATCAATAACACACGAGGGAAATCCAAGCAATTAACAATGGCCAAGGAAATAATGTTATCAGTATCTAAATAAGTATCCGTATCAGTATCTAAATAGTGCATTCCCATTGATAATCTTAATATCTGTTTAAAGTCGACATTTCATTTCATCAAAATATCTAACTAATCCAAAGAAGCATTCAGACTTGGGATATATTCTATTTACTTAATAGATAAATCAAACATTAAATCATTGCACGTATACAATAAGATTACAAGAATATAACATAACCATCGAGTATACCTGCACTAAAGAACACTGGGAATGGACTACCCATGATTGGTCTTCCATTGCACTCAATATTAACCATATAATTCCCTCTTTTTGGCACCACATAAGTGATCGTATATGTACCATCATTCATATCCTTCACAATGCCATCTTGCTCGGTTCCACCAACACCTACACCAGGCGACGCCTTTACTTTAATCTGCGCGCCACCATGAGGAACTTTCCTCCCATCGCCATCCTTAGTTACCACAGTAAACGAAGCTGGCACGCAGGCCGTGCCACCAGCTATACCTGCTCCAGCTGCTGTGCATCTAGCAGGGTCAACAGGCCCAATCGGCTTGTGTTCCAAGTCCTCAGTATCATCAAAATCACTATCTGAGGATGCCGCTTCTTTTACAGGATTCTTATCTACGCCTCTAAAAGTAGCTTCGAAAGCAGCTTTAGCCGCTGCATCTTTCTCAGCCTCACTCTTCAGTTTCGCCTCTGCAGCTTGCTTCATCCAGATTGGTCTTGCGACCACCGAGTTACGATCAGCCATCAAACCTAATTCTCCGCGATAATTAGGTTTGCTCCAATATCAAACACTAGAGTCTCAAAAACCTAAACCTAAACCTAAACCTAAACCAAAACCAAATCAACCCACCAAAGCTTCCACAACATAAAATATACGCCACAGCACTCCAATACCCTAAATGAAGAGAAGAAATTCCGATAAAAACGCACCACCGGTAACCGAAAAGATCAATAACTTGATAAAGCCTCAATGAGAGGGTCTTGGCGTGCAAATACCCAATCTCAACAAGAAATTTCCAGCTCGTTTGCAGAGAAGACTAAGATTCGCCAATATGTCCAAGCAGTTGTTAGCGCGCACACAGAAGATGAAAAAACGAAGATTAATCGTTGTACTTTCCGGGAAAATTAAAGAACAACTGAGAGAGTAATCCCCTAATTTCCCATGGAACAAACAAGTGAACAGATCGGCAGAAGCCCTAGATCTGATGGAAATCCGAACAAGCGAGAGCCAATGGCGCCCTATCTACGAAGAATGTTGAAGGAAAACACAACTATTTCGGCGACGGCGTTGAGATACGGTCGCGCGATTGAGAGTGTAAGGAACGAGGAGGACAAGTGGCTATCCTGAACCCCGGATTTTTCCTCGCTCTCTGCTTTCGTTTTTAATAATAATTTTCTCCCTATTATATTTTTATATTACCTACAAATATTTTTTTTTCTTATAAATAATTTTAAAATATACTAAAAACTAAATATTTTTTTTGTTTGATTAAAAAATTACAAAATTTTGATTAAACCAATTTAATTTTAAATTAAGAACTTATTTAAATTAGTTTGAATTTAAATAAATGAATATCTTAAATGTGTTGGTTCATTAAAATTGAATTTCACTTAAATTTATTTTTAATTTAAAAAAAAAAATCGTTTACAATACAATTATATATAACAAACTTCTATTTAAAAATCAAACATAAAATTCTTTTTGAAAGGTAATTTTTTAAATTAGTCATTGTTACCAATTTTAATTACATTATTATACCAGTTTGGTGAAATAATATAAATTCAACCTCTATTTAAAAATCAAACATAATTTTCTTTTTGAAAGGTAATTTTTTAAATTAGTTATTGTTACCAATTTTAATTACATATTATAACAGGTCGGTGAAATAATATAAATTCAAACACAATTTAATAAATAAAATATAATTGTCAAACCGAGCATAGTTTATGGATATCGGATCCATCCAACCCATCCAGATAATATTTAAAATATTAATGAATTAAAATTTCATAAAAAAAATAAAATTGTTTTTCAAAAGTTTAATATTCTCAATTTTGATATATGAAAATGACCGAAATATCCTCACCTTCACTCTCTCATATTCCACCACCACACTCCATTGACATCCGGTAGATTATTGTTGATGATAGCCAAATTTTGTTGTCATCCACCACCACCTCACTCCTAACGACCATTGTCGCCTACCACCTTTAACCATCGAACCACAAGTTTTCAATATTATCTACCACCACCGACGACCAACACACCGACTCCTATGAGTGGTCATAGTGTCTTAAACACAAATTTGAAGTTAATAGTTTACAGAGTTTAATAGACATCCATTTTAGCAACTCGATCGAAACAAGCTATTCACTCAGTTCTACCCTACAACAATTTGGTCAAAAACATAACTCAACTTCTCATACTCACACATTAAGCAACACTCAGTTCTTTCATAAAGAGCACAAGCTTTAAAGAGAGCAAAAAGAAAGCACATCATAGCTAGCTACTCTAAACTATGCAATGGTCTTACCATCTTGAATTGCTTCACCTTCTCAAAATTCAGAGCTTGGAAATTCCTTTCCACCTCCCAAGCCTGTTGGGACAGGCCGTTAAACGTCGACTTTGCACCCTTCTCATCTGTAACTTCTCTCGGAAATGGAATTCGGAATTCAAACGTCCCATTTTGAGGAGAGAATACGCGCAGGTCGAAGCCTAACCGATCAATCCATATCAGCTTTGCTTCTGTAAACTGCCAAGAAAAATGGAGAACCGTGAGAATTCTATCTAGAAAGGGATTTTGGGATTATTAAGTGATAACGGGATCCGGACGACGAGTTAAAAGAAGATTGATTAGCCTGCAAGAACCATCTGCCCATAGAATTTAAGTGTGCTTATAAATTTCAATATGAATAACGCTATCTACAAGCAATATGAATAAAACTAGATCTCCTGGTGAGTTTAGAATCAAATAAGAACCCGAAGACGACCGTAGCAAACCTCAAAGTTCAAATCGGCATATATGTTGCAAAAGCGATTAACATCTTCGGCATTGTTCGTGTTTATCTCGTTCACTAGCCTTTCTGCAAAATTTCGAAGAGGATCTGGGCTTGCAGTTTTATAATCTGAAGAGTTTACCAAAACCCCAACCTGAAACAGTATGAAGTATTAGATTATTATTCGAACAAACATCTCTATGTTCTAGTGCATTAAAACTGGTCCCGGATTAGGCACGCTGCGTAAAAGCAACAAGTGCAGAAAACGACGTTTGTACCTCCCCAAAGTCATCTATCTGAAGTACTCTCTCCACACTAACAATATACAGAAGGTCTTCATTAATGTCTTCTCCAAATCTCTTTTTCCATGTAGTATGAAGCCGCTGAAAAACATGGCATCACAGTTAATAAAGAGTTGATCCAATCTTACGAGTATAGAACTATAACCGTCCAAGCACACCGCTAGCAGATATTGTTCTCTTTGGGTTTTCCCTTTCAGGCCTCCCCTCAAGGTTTTAAAACACGTCTACTAGAGAGAGGTTTTCACACCCTTATAAGAAATGCTTCATTTACCTCTCCAACCGACGTGGGATCTCACAATCCACTCCCTTGAGGGCCAGTGTCCTTGCTAACACACCGTCCAGTGTCTGGCTCTGATACCATTAGAAACAGTCCAAGCCCACCGGTAGAAGATATTGTCCTCTTTGGGCTTACCTTCAAGGCTTTTAAAACATGTCTTCTAAGGAGAGGTTTCTACACCCTTACAAGGAATGCTTCGTTCCTCTCTCCAACCGATGTGGGATCTCACAAGAACGATGTTGAACAGTTATAGAACAATAGCTAGTATAACAATCCAAAAGCTACTAAATCATAGGTACAAGAACGAAAACAAAACAAAACATGAAAAACTTGCAACATCTTGTTGTCAGAAGAGGGATGGAGGATTGAGTGAAGATGGCACTTTGGGTTTGTGCACCCCCACGCCATTATGGAGCCAGAGGAACAGACACTAAAAGAACAAGACTTTATAGTCCATACCCAACTCCTTTCAGAGCCACGAAATGGCATTTCTTTTGCAATTCATCTGCAATATAACTCCAACATGACTTTATACAGTCCATACCAGAAATTTTAACTTCTTTGAGCATAGTGTTTCCTAAATGACTTGATAAATTTTGGCACTTGGTAGAAAAAAGAAATCTAGAAAGCTCCCCAGTGATTTTACTAAATGATCCTAAAGGAAGCAATCCTCAATTCCTTTTATAACAGCTTAGACTAACCGCTAGCAGATGTTGCTCTTTTTGGGATTTCCCTTCCGGGCTTCCCTTTAAGGTTTTAAAACGGGTCTGCTAGGTAGAGGTTGTCAAACCCTTATAAAAAATGTTTCGTTCTCCTCCCAACTGATGTGGGATATTACAATCCACCCTCCTTCGGGGCTCAGCCTCCTCGCTGACACATCATCCAATGTCTGGCTCTAATACCATTTGTAACCGCTCAAGCCCACAGTTAGCAAATATTGTCTTCTTTGGGCTTTTCCTTTCGGGCTTCCCCTCAAGGTTTTAAAACGCGTCTACTAGGGAGAGGTTTCCACGGCCTTATAAAGAATGTTTTGTTCTCCTCTCCAACCGAAATGGGATCTCACAATCCTTTTGTCCTCCAAACAACCCGGCTGTACATTATGCAGACTTTGTACAAAACCTCTCCCCCTCTTTTTCCTCATCTATTAGTTACCTTCTTACTAGAACTCTCCACAATTTGATATTAACTTCCCGCTGGTCCGCTGGTCCCGAGCATAAGCATTTTTAGGGCGGGCACCTTGAAACACTGAGGAAGCTACAAGATGGCAAGTGATTTTCCTACCCAAATGTAATCTCAAGACAAAGTCCTTTCATCATTTCCCAACTCTATTACTGGGAAGTAAAAAATATGTCCATGTAACCTTCAAGTCCCACCAAAGGCTTCCAGAAAAACCAAATTTCCTTAGTTTTGTGAACCACCACTTCTTCCTTACCATAAATGTCAGTAACCACTTTATTCCTCAACACGTTGCTATCTCTTGGATATCTCCAAAGCAACGTAGAAAGTAGCCATTATTTCTCTAGATTGCCTGTTTCCTATCCTCCATTTTGTAGAGGCTTCTTGAAACAGTGTTCGAACTGACTAAATGATCGACCTTTCCTTACTTCCCTACCAAAGAAAATTTCTCCTTTTTCTTTCCACTATTAGTTTCAACTTCAATGACATCTATTCAAAAGAAGGATAGAAACTAAATTGGTAAACTGGAAAAAAAAAATAGCTAAACATTGAGTTAAACAACCTCCTTTTGAAAAACAAAAGTTCCTTCTACAAATGCATTCCTGTAATTGGATTCCATAGTTCTAGTTCCATCGATTTTCCATCAAAGGTTTCGAAATATGAAATCCAGAGAAATTCAACCTTGCACTCAACCCTGATTTAGAAAGGCATCAAATTTTCAGATTTCTCTTTAAACACTGAACCAACTCATGCATAAAAAAATTCTTCAAAGCAATAGCCACTTTACATTAGAAATAGTATTGTTCCCATCATAAGTATAAATTATCGTTAATAGTAAAACACAATCATTTATGAGGATTAATAGCTTAGAGCAATCTTATCAAATGAGGAACGAAATAATTCTTCCACTGTAACTTGCAAACAATGACCACAGTTCTAGCTAGCTAAGCCAGAATTCAGCCCGGTGGCAACAGATTAATTCCTAAAACAATGCTAAAAGGAATATGTATCCAAAAATCCAGGGACTGCGGATAATTGTACCTTCAAATTCATTTTGTTGTCTGGTTTATCAAGACTTCCTTGAATTGTACACTGCGGAGTCCGCAATCCACATTGTTCCAACTGCTCAAAAGAAGAATGGCAAACATAAGCAAGTTTACATCAGAAACGTGTAAATTAGTGACAGAAATCTCTATATTTCTTTAATATCTATAAACAACTTTCAATTCATGAATTCAAACAGAAACAAAATAAACTTGAATCGATTCAGAGATTTCATCTTCATTTTCACATAATTCCACTTGGAGCCTGTACATACGACGTATATATCCATAAAAATGAACATTATCGTTAGTATCTCAATAAAATGAAGAACCTGAACATGGAGGCTGGACCTCCTGTCGATGGAGAACTCCCGCATAGATTCGTTCAAGCTCAAAAGAGGCGTACCGTCTTGGTCAACAGCGAATCGAACGCCAACGCCGAGAGGCCATCCCTCATGGCTCAAAGAAGAAAGCGTTCCAACAGAAGACAACTCCATAATTGTCCTCGAAACCTCAGCCGGGAACGGCTTCACATTCCGCAGTTCCGTCGGAGCCAACTCAGAAATCGCCGAAACAGAACATTTCAAAGCCCGAAACGAAAATCTACGAAATCGGCATCCGTTTGGATAAGCGAATCGAGATTTCGAGGTTGATTTTAATGGAGCGACAGAAGGCGCGAACTGATTCGTGAGAGTTTGAGCTTGAAGATGCATTTGGTGAAAAGCTCCAAAATCACCCTAGAGCTTCAGAAATGACGAATTTCAACTTCTTTCTTCGAATTTGTTGAGAAGGATTGAGAAATTCGTCTCGATGATAATAGGATGAGAATCACTGAGCCGAAAGAGAAACAACTCGTGAGGATTGTGATCGAGTTGACGCTCCAGACAACAAGCAAAATAGCGCGAGTAGAAGACGAAAACGACAATACAAAGCTATGATCTGTTACATTAAGGCCCATTGTAGCTTGTAAGCCAATCTGATCTCCAGCCAATCAAAATTTAACATTTAATTAGTTTTTATTAAAAAATTTAAGCTATTTTTAAACATGTTTTTTAAATTAAATTTTTAGTAGAAATTACTTTCCAATGGGCCTTATAAATTTTCACCCGCCTTACATTTTATATAAATATATTCGCGTATACCAAAATTATGGAAAAATATATATTATTTATTATAAAAAATATAATATTAAATTTAAAATTTTAAAAATTAGGTTGAATATTATATTATTTTATTTATTTTATTATAATGACGTGTTAAAAAAATTTATTAATCCCATGAAATTTAATATTCACAAAAATAAATAGAGAATTTCGCTATAAAAACTGAAATAGGGGAAGGAAATAATATATATATATATATATATATATATATATATATATATATATATGTATATATGTATGTATGTGTATATATATGTATGTATTTGTGTGTGTTCGAGAAATTTTCTTCCTCCCATGTAATCTGACATTTAAAAAAATAAATAAAAATAAATGGAGAATTTTATGGAAATTGAAACCGGAGAAAGAGATAATATATATGTTCATGAAAAAAAATTTTCCTCCCGTGAAATCTAATATTCACAAAAATAAAATGGAGAATTTCATGGTGGGAATTAAAACAAGAGTCGAAGGAAGAATCTTCATCCTCACCACGTACTCGTGGACGTCTCTAATTTCAAGACTAACTTTATTTTTTTATTTTTTTATTTTTTTACTATCCCGCAAAGATTGATGGAAGGTCAAAATTGATAGAATTGAATTCACATTTAAAAAAGTATTTGAACGTTTAATTTTGTGTTTATCAAAATGACCCATAATTAAAAAATTATTCTAAAAAATAATATTTTAAAAGTTAAATTATAATTGGAAAAAATTATTATTTTTTCTAATTTTCAAAATTTTGAAATTTAAGATTATGTCTAGAAATTAATTTTAATATTTTAAATTATAGATATTAAATTTCAAATTTTCAAAATTTTAATTTTAAATTCATTTTAAAGATGAATATATTCTAAATTTCACCATATTAAAATTTATCACTTTTATTTTTATATGAAGATTCCAACAATTTTTAATTCTAGAAAATGTTTGGAGGGGAATAAATCTCTACGTGTGACTCCCTATTTTTATTTTTCGTTTAATATAATTTATAATTTCTATTTTTATTTTTCGTTTAATATAATTTATAATTTTCGATGTGTGTTGTGATAACTCTATTTTAGCATTTACGTGTTTTTTTTATAATTATTAATTAAAAAATAAAAAAACACCACAAGCACTAAGTAGTCATTAAATACAAAAATATATAATTTAAATTATTTATTAATTCAAGCATATTTATTAGAAAAAATATTAATTAGGGTCGAAATTATTCAAATAAAATATATATATATAATTTTATTAAATCAATTTGAAGGATTATAATATCATCAATCTCCATATCTTGATTTTCGTCTTATTCTAATTATTGATATGCTTTTAGTTAAAATTAAAATTAATATTAAGTTTTAAAAATATAATTTTTTTATTAATTATTCTCTCTTCTAGAAATATATAGATATTATTTTTTTTATTACATTAAAATTATTATTATTAATTTGATATATTTGGAGAAAATTTTTAAAGTAAAAATTTAATGAATTAATTTAAAAATAACAAAAAAAAATTATTTATTTTTTGAATATTACAATCAAATGCATACTTTTTCTTATGTTTCCCTTTAACGATTTCTTGAATCTTATCGAATTTTTTAATAATTATTATTTACTTTTGAAAATAAAATTATTATTTTTATAAATAATAAATTAATTATGCACTTGCCCCTTTGCGCACAAAGGCTTGTCATACAATATAATTTCTTCTATTTGCCAACTTGAGATCGTAAGCAGTTGTATCGACCAAATTTTGATTCGACCAAATTTTGATGCAATAATCATAATATACATATATATATATATTTTTTTTTTATAAAATTTTAAAACTATAATATTAATTCCGTGGAAAAATTAGATCAGTGTCAAATTGTTGGAGAGTAACGAAGCATTTCTTATAAGAGTGTAAAAATCCTCTTTATAAAACGTTTTAAAACTGTGAGGCTGATGATGATACGTAACATGTAAATGATGAGCTTTGACTGTTCAAATGATATTAGAATTAGATACTGGGCAATGTGCTAGTAAGGACGTTAGGCCACCAAAATGGTGGATTGCGAGAATTCACAAGAGTTGGAGAGGGATTTTCAAACATTTCTTATATGGGTATGGAAACTTCTCTTCACTAGACGCATTTTAGAGCTGTGAGACTGACGGCGATAGTAACGAGCCAAAACAGACAATATTTGTTAACAGTGGGCTTCAGCTGTTACAAATGATATTAGAACCAGACATGAGGTAGTGTAGTTGCAAGGACGCTGAGCCCTGAAAGAAAGTTAAAAATATATTTTAAACTCTATTTCATATTATATTATTTATAATACTTTTTTATATGAAAGAAAGTTAAAAATATATTTTAAACTCTATTTCATATTATATTATTTATAATACTTTTTTATAATTTAGTCCCCGACTACTATTTTTATAACTAAATGGGTACCATAATCAGCGTTTATCAACTAAAATTCTCATTTTAACTATTAATTTTATTACTCAACGAGTCCTAAATCTTTTTTTATTTTCATTTTAGTCCTCGATATTTTGATTATTTAACTTAGACGTGTTCTTAGTTTAAACCATTTCACTTGTGCACAACTTTCCATATAAAGCAATTTAAAAATAGAAAAAACCTAAAAAATGGCTTTTTAAATGATCATAAATCTAAAAAAATATATAATAAGATAGAATAAAATTTTATTATTATTTAATTTTTTAAATTTCGCCTAATTTTTAAAAAATATATAAAAATAGATAAAGAAAATAGAAACAAACAAATAAATACTTTGTGTTTAATTCTTTAAATAAAAAATTAGTTTAATATGAAATAAAATTTAAAAGAATATTATTATTATTATTTTATTTCCAAAATTTAGCAAATATAAATAGGTAACAAAACAAAAAAGTCCATAGTGAAAATTTTGCTTAATTTTCTAAAGTAAAATAATAATTATTAATTTATTTTCAAAATTGGAATTTAATTTTTAAAAATATATAAAAATAGATAGCAAAATAAAGAAGTCCACGTGCTTAATTTTCAAATATTATATAAAATAAAAGAAAGTAATTATCGCTTGAAAACAAAATAGGAAGAGTGTTTTATTTATTTATTTTTAAATATAAAATAAAATGAAAACTTTGAAATTAAAAAGGGAGAATATAGGAATAAAATTATAAAATACATATTTAAAAAAAATAGAAAATAAGAATAAAAAATGAATATTTTATTTATTCTAGACTCAGCTTGACGTCCTCCTATAAATACCAGAAGACAAAGCGGGAGAGAGACGGAGAAAAAACAGAGAAATGCAGTGCTCCGATTTTACCTACTCTGGAGGCGATTACCGCATCTTAATCCCTTCGAGCCCTAGTATTACCGGCCGGCGGCAAATTTCCGGCCAGAAATCTCGGGTTTTCTTCCCCAATACTCCGCCGTGCAATTCGACTCGCTTGCCGTCTCTTTCTATTAGAGCCAAGGCCTCGTTCAACGGAGGAATCGCCTCTTTCGAGGCCGCCGATGGATCCTTCTACGATTTGCTAGGCATTTCCGAGTCTGGATCCTTGGCTGAAATTAAGCGCGCCTACAAGCAACTCGCTCGGAAGTACCATCCGGATGTGTCGCCGCCGGGCCGGGCAGAGGAGTATACGAAGAGGTTCATTCGTGTTCAGGAGGCGTACGAGACATTGTCGGATCCGAGAAGGAGAGCGTTGTATGACAGAGATATGGTTGGAGGCCTTCAAGTCGCGTTCTCTGCTAGGAGACGATATGATGTCGATGAGGTATTGGTTCAATTTGTCTATCGATTCTCGTTTGTATTTCAGTATTTTAGGGAAAATTGCGTTTGATTGTTGATGGATTTTGAAATCTTCTGTCTTGATTTTGTGTTTGCCCTTGTTTTTGAGGTGTTTCATGTTTAATTGGTATGAGTGAAGGATATTTTCTTGTTAGATGCTCCTTTGGTTCTGGATTTTTGGTGTGAGGAAAGGAATCGTCCGCTTCTGGTTCTTTGTTTCTTTCTTTGGTAGTTTTCTGACTCTATCTGATAAAAGCTGCTGAAGGAATGGTGGAGAGCGGTACCGTTCCTATTGGAGCAAGGGTATTCAATTGGCTATTCAATTCTTTGTTTTGTAATTAAGACTAAGAGATCGATTGCAATTGGCTAATCTACTGTTTTCTCGACAACTTTCTTCAAATATGGAATTTCTTTCCTTCTTCATTTGATTCTGTTTCTAGAAAGTCTGAAATTACTTTGTCAACGTCTCCCAGAAATCTTTCCCCGCCAGAAATCCCACCTAGGACCTGCCATTTTTGAACTTCCATTTGAATGTCATAATTCAATCTTTCAATTTGACTTGATCCAGGGAGTTCCGGATAAAAGTGCATGGAAGAGTTGTTGGAAAGCTCAGATCTCAGAATTGAAGAGAAGAAGCATGGATAAGGATTCGAAACACAATTTGTCGTGGGGAGCTCGAATGCGCCAACAAATGAATGAACAGGTTTGATTGAAATTATAGGTTCATACTTGAGCAGCCTTAAGTAAATAGAAAACGACCCATTTGAGAATAATAATAAATTTGTTTTTAGTTGTTCTCATACTTCCAATTCTTCCCCTTTCCTGTTTGTGAAATCTGCTCTAAAACGATTGATTGAAAAGTTGCCACACAAGGCCATAAATAATCTGCACCATCACTGTATCCTTTGAATACAAAATTTCCCAATATCCTCTTTTGACCTATTATTGTCTCGACTGTAACAGAATCAGCCCACTTTCTATATAAGGCTCTTTATAATCCCTTTCTTTCAAACTCCTGAAATTTGAAATCGTTTCTCAGATTGGTTTCAAATTTAGGAGGAGGTCAGTTATAGTTCACAATCCTACCAAATCTGACCTCTTTTAGATTGATTTTTTTAAAAGACCAGCTAGAGTTGAGAATAAAATGAACAAGAAGGGAAAAAAAAAGGTGGGAAGGAGGGAGTGCAGGATGGATTTATATGTTATTATCTTTTTAACATTATTTATAGATATATAATAAATATTCTAGAAAAAATAGTAAATAAGATAAATTTTGAACAATCATTGTTACTACGATGTTCCAAAATATATCTAATCATTGGTAAGGAACATTGGTACCCTTAACACAAAAAATAATTATTTCGGTCCTTCTCTTATCACTTTCTTTGTTTAATTTATACCCTAAGAGTTCTTCAATCTCTAGTTCCTTCTCCTTTTTTATTATTTTTTTTTTCCTTAAATTTTAAAATATCATATTNAAAAAAAAAAAAAAAAAAAAAAAAAAAAAAAAAAAAAAAAAAAAAAAAAAAAAAAAAAAAAAAAAAAAAAAAAAAAAAAATCAAATTTTAAGTAACCAATGCTTGAAATAAGCGACCACCAAATGACCTACAAATGACCTATTAAGATTTAAATGTCTTAACAAGATTGTACGTTAGTAGTTGATTTGAATGTCTTGACAAAATTGTACGTGAATTCAATACATTGAGAATATGAGTTTAAATTATGTGTTACCGACTCATAATTGTATAAATTTTGTTTACCGACTAAAAATGTAGAAAGATTATTTAGATCTACCACAAAACACTAAAAAAAATTCATTGATTTTATCAATTAATTATCTTTAAATTGAGTTATAGTCCAAACTTCATACTTTAATTATTAATGTCTATTTCATTTAGTACGCATTTATAAGTAGATAGAATTGGTCCCTATATTAATTATTCAATTAATTTGATGTGACTCAATCAACAATTGATAAAATAAATTATAAAATTACTCTAAATCATTAAATTCAAAATGGTGCATTCTTTTAAATTAATGAATGTAATTAAAAATAATAAAATAAAAAGCATTTTATATGGTTGTTGACGCATTAATGCATCAAAGTAAATGGAAATTCATCAATAATTAAGGAACCAACCAACTAATTAATTTTAATTTATTAATTTCTATTACAAATTCATCAAAATTAACTATTACAAATTGAATATGGCTTTTGCTGCATTAAATGGGAACCAACCAATTAGTTTTAATTTATTAATTAATGTAAATCCTACAACTTTACCCCTAATAATTGATTCAACATAATTTAACTTCTGCTTTTAATGAACAAAAAATTAAAATGATTATAAAAAAAAATTCTACCTTTTTTTCATTAAAACAAACAAACAAACAAAGAATAAGAAATTGTATGGCAATTGCCAAAAGTCGTTAAGTTATATTTAAAAGAAAAAATTGTTAAAGTTATTAAATGTAGAATTTGATAATATTTTTTTATTTAAAAAATTCAAAATTAATAGATTCTAATCATTAATTAGGTCAGAAAATTGATAAAATGTTTAAAATTAAATAATTGACGTCTAGTTTAATTGGTTACTAAATATATAAAATTATAAACTTCACGTAAATCCATTTCTTTATGTAGAATAATAATTCTATTTCTTTACAAAATTACTTTTTTTAGATATTTAAAAAATCAAATTTATATAAAATTTACAGATTATATTTCTTGTTATTACTTTCTTTAATCTTTAATATATGGATTAATTTTGAAAACTAAATTATAAGGAGACAGAGAGAAAAAAAAAAGTCTAATTTTTCAAAATTATAATCTATTTTATCTTTAATTTTATTATTATTATTTTTTTTTTTTTTGTCCTTGTAGGTTCTTTTGAATGGTTTTCGTGGTCACTACCATGGAGGAAGATAGAGGACCCGCGCACAAATACTCGAAAAGAAATGCATAAAAAAAAGCTAAGATTTTAAAGTTTTTGTTCTAATTTATCGAACCAAGATTGTTTCAATAAGAATTTCCAACATTACCCTTAATATTATTCAGGATGTTAAATTTTCATCGACTTGTCTAACATTTCGAAGTCCACACCATATACATAATAGAGTAAATCAACAATAAGATTAATTTAGAGTTTCTTAAGATAAGAAACAATTTCAACAATAGAATTAATTAGATAAATTGGATAACTTAGCTGAGTGTTGAGCTTCGATCTTAATGCAACCATTGGATGTCATTGTGGCATCACACATATTGGTTCCTCATCTCCCTCTGAATCTGCTGCTTTTTGAGGATCTGGAAATCCCTTTAAGATCTGCTGAGTATAGTTCGAGGTTGAGATTTGTTCAAAAACACTCTTAAACACGTCTTTAATGATTCGAAAGCAAGGATATTGTGTGAAACCCTACTCGGTGGGCTGAATCAACATCCAGCCACTCTAATGCCGTCGTTTGTGTGCATTATTTCATTCAGTGTCACAACCTAACTATGAGGAGAGTAGGTTGTGACCCTCACGTTGCGACGAGAGAAGTGGTTACCCTCAAGTGGCGCTCATCCGGCCACGCGAGGGCTAGACGAGCGCTATGATGCGACCAAAGGAGATGGTGCACCACTTAAACTAGTCGTCGTCATCCTCGATGACTTACTTGGGAGCACAACCACTCCTTGGATTGTGACACTCAGAATGAGCTCGGCAACAAATCAATTTCACCAAAATTACTATTTCTAAAACTATTTTCAAACATGCTTGAGATCGTTTTGAAGAGATCTTAAAATCAATTACTACATGAAAAGGAAAGCTAAGACTTGATAATATACCTCATGTAAGTACCAAGAAGCAAAGGCGTCTGTGGCAGCATAATGCAGTTGCTCCTTAGATAACATAGCGACCTCCCAGTTTCCAAGTCTGATCTTGCTGGGTTTTGGAATGCAGTTGCTCCTTAGATAACATAGCGACCTCCCAGTTTCCAAGTCTGATCTTGCTGGGTTTTGGAAGCTACAAAGTTCAATAAATTTGAGTAGAGACGAGGGTAAAAGCCCAAGCCCACCGCTAGTAATATTGTTGCATATCACCGTCAGCCTCACGGTTTTAAAACGAGTTTATTAGGAAGAGGTTTCTACACCCTTATAAAGAATGTTTCGTTCTCCTCTCCAACCGATGTGGAATCTCACAATCCACCCCTTTGGGGGCTAGTGTCCTCACTGGTACACCACTCGGTGTCTAACTCTGATAACATTTGTAACAGCCTAAGCCAAACGCTAGTAGATATTGTCCGCTTTGGCCTATTACATATCACCGTCAACCTCATGCTTTTAAAACACGTCTATTAGGAAGAAGTTTTCACACGCTTATAATGAATGTTTTGTCCCCCCTCCAACTGATGTGAGATCTCACAATCAGATTTTGATCTACAAATTGCTTGAGGTCACGATCTCTATGAACATTCACTCAAAACTAACGGTATCAGATTTTGATCTACAAATTGCTTGAGGTCACGATCTCTATGAACATTCACTCAAAACTAACGGTAATGGAATATAAAGAGAGAATATATCAACCTCTTTGGATATGAGCGCCTCAGTTAAAGATCCAAGGCTCCATTTTTTGGGAACTCCAGCAGCAAGCTTTTGATTAGCTAGATTCGAGATCTCGTCGACTGCTCTGATAGACACGTTATAATCTTTAAAAACTTTCATAGCATCATTAACAATGCCAACTCCAGCCTGAAGATTTTCAGCATGATTGATTGAAATAGGTTATTTTATAAACAGATCAGGAAAATTCAATTCCAAAACCAGTCATAGTGATGCTTCAAACCTTACTGAGTGTGTTATCTTCAAGAAGAGCCTGCAAACTTCGGGGTATTCCTGAATGAATGATATGCATCACATGGCACTGTGAATGGTCCAAGCACAGTTGCATGACTGCTGCCTTCCCGGGTGGAACACCTGCAAGATGAATTCATCTCAAATGAGTCAAAAACAGTAAAAATTAGTGTTTTGATCAACATATTTCAGGGAATCCGCGAACAAAGTAAACAGGGAATCAGCCTCCTTGCTGGTGACTCTTTCTGGTGACTCTGTTACCATTGTAACGGTCCAAGATCACCGCTAGCAAATATTTTCTTCTTTGGACTTTCTCTTCTGGGCTTCCCCTCAAGGTTTTTAAAACGCTCTGCTAGGGAGAGGTCTCCACACCCTTATAAAGAATGTTTCGTTCTCCTCCCCAACCAATGTGGGATTTCACAATCCACCCCATTTGGGACCCAGCATCCTTGTTGGCACACCGCCTCGTGTCCACCCCCTTCGGAGCTCAGCCTCCTCGCTGGCACATCACCTGGTGTCTGGCTCTGATACCATTTGTAACGGCCCAAGCCTACCACTAGCAAATGTTGTCCTCTTTGGGTTTTCCCTTTCGAGGTTCCTCTCAAGATTTTTAAAACGTGTCTGCTAGGAAAAGGCTTTCACACTCTTATAAAGAATATTTCGTTCTACTCCCTAACCAATGTGGGATCTCACACAAGCAAGACCGCGAAAGAAACATTTTCTGCCCTTTCAAGAACTTGCCCCTTCTCTCTCTCTGAAAGACTGATTTCTTAATTCATTTAACCATCTGCTAACAATGGGTAGTGTGAGCTAATCATTACAGAACATGAACTGATATAGCAATTAACAAACCCTCCTAAGATTCTGAAACTTCAACAGATTCAATGTATGCTTGAGAGAGTTCACCTACTAACTTAACTGTTAGCAACATGTTTAATCAAATTTGATTGAGCATAATAGAGTTTAATCAACGGCGAAATGAACATTTTCATGCATTTTCACCCCATAAATCTTTGTGTCTTTTTGTTTATTTTATGTTTGTGGTGCGTGAGTATGATCATTCTTAAGTTTGCTTCAATGAATTCAAATGAGTGACTGACCTCTT